TTCTGCTAGTCTGTTCGATCTGTTCTTTGGGTTGATCGATCTTCTCTTGACAGTAGGGTTGATCGATCTGCTCTCTTTTAATCAGCATTCTCGCTCTGATACCATTTTGGCAGTGTAGCCGGCCAGAGATAAGTGGAAGGGGAGAGAAGAGAAGAGAAGAAGGTTTGCAATGTAACAGTACTGGCGGCACCAGTGTTTATTTTACTATATATAGGGCGACAGAAATAACAAGGGAAAAGACCCTTGTGCCCCTGAGTACAATAACAGACATAAAAAAACACTTTAATTAGCCAAACAGGCCCTAACATCTGCAACTAAGTTATTTTAACATTATTCCAACAGAGGTCATCAAAGTACAAAGCCCAACTGCAGTCTTTATTAGGCATTTCCTTCCCGTCAGGCCCACGTGTAATCGCTACAACTTCCTTTGAACTTTGGTCAATGGTCTTTGAACCGTTGTCTGTCCTCTCCCCTCCACGTGTAACCCATCCCTATAGCAATTCATCGTCTTCTACCTTAGAGCATCTCGCCCATAGAGACATCTTGTCTTTCAATAAAACCCAGACATTCAACCAAAGACCATCTGCGAGCAGACTGATGCATCTAGGAATGTCTTCAGGCTTCAATCCTGCAATTCTAAGTCTCGCGGCGTGCAGATCTTGAAAATTATAAGCAATCAATGCTCCACCCAGAATCTGTATCAAATTTTCAATGGTTTTCGCGTTTCAAAGATTAAAGGGGAGACCCACGAGCTTAATCTCAAGATTTTCTACAGAGATGGGTATCTGATTACAGGATATATGCCAGACCACCGCATTCACCAAGCCATCTGGAGAGTCCACCCTTTAAGTAGTGGTAATCTCAACGTCTTCGTCAAACCCAAATAACACCGCCTTCGAATCATCAAAGGGCTTGATTCTCACTTGGCCCTTTAATCTAAATCTCTCCACAATCGCCTCCAAGATCCTTCCCCAATCAGTAATTCTTTTGTCTGGTGATAACATCACATTTTTCTCCCAGGCTCCTTTCTCCAGTTCCGATAACATCCTCTGATTTTTGATAGTGTTACAGAGGATATCTTTTGGGATTCCATTTTTTTATTTTTCCTCCTTTAGCTGTTTCCTGAAGCCTTTCTCGTCAGAGACCACTGGAACATTGCAGTTTTTTTGATTTTGTCTTTCTTCCAGAATGAACAAGAACTCCTGTAATTAATCTGCAAACAGGCACCACCTTGTTCTCTTTCTTCCTTCCGGTACACACAGCAACTGTGTTCTGTTATCACCAAAAGTTTCCACAATCACCACAAACCAACCCTTCAAATTCCTCCTCCCTTTTCAAATTTATTATCAGCTACTCCCATTGAACTTTTCCATCCTTGTTTTTTGATGGAAAATACTGTTCCATCCATAAAGCCTTTCAACCATCCAATCGCCTCTTCAACTACTAAGATGGTAGCTCTCTTTTCCTCCCTGATTTTTAAAATCCACCTTCCATTGATTCTGTCTTCTTCAAGACAGAATTTCTTAACTTTGATATTCATTTCTCTCCTCCATTACACTAATGAGGAGAACTCCTCTTCGTAATCTCTTCTTTCCTCCACCACTAATTTGCCCAGCTAAAATCCATGTGACCGCCAGAAAGTGCCACAGTCCATCCAAGAATTCAAACATATTCAGCCAGTATTAATGCAGTAGTAGCCTTAAGATGGCTTGTTTGCATGCATACCCAATTTCAGCCAGATACCTTGAATAAAATTGTTAAAAAACTTTCCAAAACTCCTCCAACCGAGCAACCATAAGGGCCTTCTGCACTTGCTATATTCCAGTTAAATTTTGTAATTCAAAATTTCTCTACAACAATCTGCTTTCATAACAGTTGCATTTGTGTGCTAAACCTCCAGAACCACTTTGTAATAGGGCAGCATTCATTTCCTTAATTTTCTTCACTCCTAACCCCCTCCTGGTTCTGGTAGACATACTTGATCCCATTGGACCGAATGAATTTTGTTTATTTTCACTTTTGTTTATTTTTCGCTCGTAACCCCCTCCTGATTCATTTCCTTCATTTTCTTCACATTTGTTTATTTTCACTTTCATTTTGAATTTGTTTTATATGCTATGCTTATGTATTTTAATTTGAGCGAATAAGCTAGGGTTGATCATTTCTGGCCTGGCCCCACTCGCAAATTTTTGGGGCTTGGGCCTAGCTTTGTCCAGACCTGGCCCAGGCCCAAGCCCACATTAGGCCCGACCCAAAATATACATATATATATATTATTACATGTATACATGTACCTGTGTATATGATATGATACATACTTATATATATTATATTATATAGTGTTTTGTGTTATATTAAGTATAGCATATATTTGAGATATATTATATTATGTAATATAGAAGAGTTAGTCCGAGGGTGAATGCAACCTTTCTAGCCCTTGTCCCGAAGAAGGCTTATGCTGCTAGTCATCCAAAGGACTTTAGATCAATCAGTTTAGTAACTAGCGTTCAGAAGATCTTAGCCAAAGTTCTCTTGTTGAGATTAAAAGTAGTTCTCCCAGCTTTAATCAGTCAAAATCAAGGGTAGATTATATTATATATAATAATATATAGTATATAATATATTAATATATATATATATAATTTTTTTATTTTCAATTTTATTCCATTTGTATTGTAATTTTTTAATTTCATTTTATTATTGCATATACAAACAATTGTATACATCAAAATTCATATAAAATAAAATTTTAAGATTTATTTTTTCAGTTCTTTTGTCTATTTTGTTAATTTATTTTAAAAATTTCATTATTTTTCATTTTCTTAAAAATATACCTCTTAAGGATTGGCCTAGTCTGCGGTATGGCATGACATGCAATGGGCCATGCCGGGCTGGACCTCTGAACCTAGAGGTAGCAAGCATAGCCCAACCCAGCCCACGGACTGGCACGACACGACCCGCCAAAAGCACGGGTCGCCTACAGGCACCTCTAATCAAGGGGATTTCATTTAGGGGAAACAAATAACTGATCAAATTCTAGTTGCTAATGAATGTTTGGAAGATTTGAAAAGATCAAGGAAAGACTTTGTGAGTAAGCTAGACTTGGAGATAGCTTATGATATGGTGGATTGCACTTTCCTTATTGAGGTGATGAAAAATTGTGGGTTTGGGGAGAGATGGTGCAAATGGATCTTTGATTGTATTAAGTCTTGCCTATTCTATTCTGGTTAACGTGATTGTTAGAGACTTATTTCCAGCTTGTTGGGGATTGAAGCAAGGTGATCCGCTCTCACCCTTTCTGTTCACCCTAATAGTGGATTTGTTTAGTAGAATGATCTTAAAGGCTGATAGGGTGAATGAAATAAAAGGATGGAAGATTGTAAGGAATAGGTTCCAATTTCTCATCTCCAATTTGTGGATGATATTATAATTTTTTGTGAGGGAGGAGAGCAAGATTTGGTCAGGAACTTGAAGGAGATGGTGAAGAATTTTAAGCTTGTTTCTAATCTGAAAATCAATCTTGAAAAGAGTTGTATAGCAGGGATTAACTTGGAGGAAGAGGAATTGAATGACACTGCAAATATTTTAGAATGTCGTATTGCTAGTTGACCATTGACCTACCTAGGACTTCCTTTAGGATCAAACCCTAAAGAGAGGAGATTCTGAAACACAATAGTGGAGAGATGTGCAAAGAGATTGGTAGCTTGGAAGAGAAATTATGTATCTTTGGGAGGAATGATTACCCTAATCAAATCTACGCCCGCTAATTTGCCAATTTATTTTCTGTCAGTTTTTAGAATCCCTCAAAAGGTAGCCAAGAAAATCGAGAATGTTATGAAGGATTTTTTATGGGAGTCGGGTGATGGAAGGAAGGGTCACTTGGTTAAATGTGAAGTTGGTGTAGGAATTTTCAAGAGGGAGGTTTGGGTATTGGAAGTGTGGATAAAAAGAACAGGGCTTTGTTAGGGAAATGGCTGATGAAAAGGGATAGATTGTGGCATGATGTAATAGTTGACATACATGGAAGGTTGGGATGTAGGTGTATCTACTATAGCTACTGGCCTCTCTGTGGAAAGTTATTCATTGCGTTCTGCCTCATTCTCTCCATTTCATCATATATGATGTTTGCTATGGGGTTTCTGTTAAATTTTGGGAGGATACTTGGGTTGGTTCTTGTCCGCCAAAGGAGCTCTGTTTAAGCAACCATATTGTTTTTGATGTGAAAGAGTAAAAATCCTCCCTCCCTAATACGAGGACCAGAATAGGATTATGAAAGTGCCATTAGGATTTAAGAGTCAGGTCTTATCTTCTCATGTCCTCATCTAATGGTGAAATATTGATTTGCTGAAAAGGGCTATGAAATCCACAAGTTAATTGGCCTTCCAATCCTTGTTTAAGCGATAAAGTTGAGGATTACAGGCTACTTATTTTTCTTCTTGTATTTAAATCATGATGTTTAGCTTTTTCCATTTGTTCTCCAGCTTCATTCGAAGTGCCAATGTAAACTCTTTTAGATGAGCCCCATCTTTGTTGGATTTCTATTGTTTGATGATTTGATCTGTTTCTGATCCGTCACTTTGGGAACATTGGATAACAGCTGAAATCGCTGAACTGAATGATTTGTTGATTTGTCTTTTAGTTAATACATTTTTAAGTAGGTTGTGAGCTCCTTGATGGCTGAAGCTGAAGTTTGGTTGATTACTATAGCCTCAAAAGTTTCCCAGTTTAAATGTTTTATCCACCAAAAAACAAGGAAATAATATTGATAAAAAAAAAGACAAGGAAATAAGTCATTCATTTGAGCCACTTCATCCATTTATCAAACAGACCCTTAGTTGCCATTCAGAATTTGTTACTGAGTTTTTTTTGGTTATTTTTGTTATTTTTGTTTTTTGTGTTGAGGAAATTTAAATCTAAGCATGGTTTTGCATTCTTGGTAATAGTTTTCATACATGATCAACATATAACAAATTTCATCTTATTTTCATTCTCACAAGCAGAAGATAGATGAGAAAGCTATCACTGGGGTTTTCCTAAAGGTACTGGACAACTACATGAAATGGTGCAAGTACTTGCAGATGCGTGTTGTGTGGAACAGGTGGTTCTTGCATTTTGTTAACTATTTGGGAGCGTTGAATCCTGTGTCACTCCTTGATAAACTAATACTGTAATTTTTTGCAGTTTAGAAGCAATTGACAGAGACAGAAAGATAATGTTTGTTTCATTATATTTTCTCATATGGGGCGAAGCTGCAAATGTTCGTTTTCTCCCTGAATGCATTTGCTATATATTCCACCATGTAAGTATGCTATAATTATTTCTGAATGCATGCCTTAGAACATGGTTTATGCTTTTGTTGCATAGTCTTATCTGGAATCTGTGCTGTTTCCAAGTAAACTAATTGTTGCAGTGCATGATGAGTATCACTTATTATGTACTAGTCATAGTTCACTTATAATGTATTAATACTATTACTTGTTAAGCATGGCATCACTGGTTATTGCATAACTGCTTCTAGTCATTGGTTTGAGTATTGTGGCATAAATCAGTGTTTAATGATGTTTTTATGCTATCCAATGTCTTGGAGCGAAATCGTTATTATCTTCATTGGAGCCATACCCTTTTTGTCAGTGACTATAAAAACAATAAGGGAGTGACTTTAATCTAGGGACACAGTAACCACAAGTGCAATTTGGGCCCCTCAAGACTTGCCACCTTTTACATATTTGGTGGATCAGGATTCATCATTGGATGCCTTGCACCTTATATTGTTGTTGGTAAATCTACTGAAAATAGGAAAAAAAAAACAACAGATTCTATGTGTATGAAATGGTGTGGCAAGTGTGAATACAGTTGGGTTCTATTATTCTTATTCTTGTTATTATTATTATTATTATTTATTATTATTGTTGTTATTGTTATTATTACTTTTCCTGGCATCTTTACATGCATGTTAATATGTAAAATACAGATGGCAAAGGAGCTAGATGCAATATTAGACCATGCTGATGCTAAACAAGCTGCAAGTTGCATGTTAGAAGATGGTTCTGTTTCTTACCTCAATCGGATTATTTCTCCTATCTATGAGGCGATGGCAGCGGTTAGTGTATTCTTTTTATTACTTAATCATGCTTGTTGTGTTGATGAAACAGACTCAATTCTCCTGTTTGTTTGGGTAAAAATACCAATGGCTTTGATGTAGAAGTTGGGAATATAAGCACCTGCAAATTTTACATGGTGAAACTCGTGTACTTAGGTGTTTTTTCAATGCCTTAAAACCTTTGTGCATGCTTTTCTAAGTTAATTTTGATATTCCTTTACCATTTACTGTAAAAATTATATTCAGTGAACTTCACAAATCTACAACAACTGGATAAAGTATTCTGTAGCGGATGCTTTACCCAAACAAGGGGTGGGAAGAGAAACTTTGTTCTGGGCACAATTGTAAATCGGGAACTTGGGTGTGGGGAGAGATAAGAGATTTGTCTCTCACTGTCTTTTTACCATTTACACTTTTTACTTATATGCTCAGTACAATCATCTTATGTGTTTTAATAAAATTTTGATGTTATTGATAAAAAAAAAAAATGGAGAAGAGTTTGAAGAGGTTTGATCAAATGAAGGATTCATTTTTGTTTAAAAGTTTCAAAAAGTGGGGATGGGTCAAAGGGTTAATTGGCAAACTTTTGTCTCGGGATGTGCTTTGTTTAGAAGTTGTGTAAAGGATTGGGGAATTGTTGTGTTAGGTGTTCTCTGGTTGGAGGGTGTGCTCTGTCTTTGTGGTGTTTAGGGGTTCTCTGTCAGGCAATGCCTTTCACCTGTCCTCTTGTAACTTCTTTTCTCTTTTTAATATTTTTTATTTTATTATCAACAAAAAAACTCTAGAGGAATCAAATGAAAAGCTGCATATTCCTCTACAGTGAATAGAATAGCCTTTAAGTCTGGTCAAATGGTCAAAATTTTGTATTTGATTTTGGTGATCATGTTGTTAGATATCTGGAACCATCTTTTTAACTTCTGTTTGAAAAGCTCGACCTTACTATTTGATAGGAATGGTAAAATTTTATGAAATTGCATTTCATGCCAACCATCCTTGACCTTGATATATGCAGGTGGGTTATTCTGCACATGCCTCTTATACTGTTGTTCTAGAACCTTATTTTTGTATCAACCTTTACTTCTGTACCGATGATGATCATTTACAGAGGTTGCTTGCATAGAATTGTCTAGACTTAACAGTACAGAGCATTGTGAAATTGTGAATGTCTGAAATGTCATAATTGGTCTTTGGAAGCCTTATTGTGGGTGTTTGGAGCATCTCTCTCTCTCTCTCTCTCTCTTTCTGTTTTCTGCCTTGCTTATTACATTTTCACTTTAGCCTCTGAACTTTTTTACAGGAAGCCGCCAGAAATAACAATGGGAAAGCTGCACATTCAGCATGGAGGAATTATGATGACTTCAATGAATATTTCTGGTTCATCTTTCTTTGCTTTTACTATATTATATTTATACTTTGGTACTTGCATGGATGATTTTGTAGAATGTTGTTATTGTCTAATTTTATATGCATCTTTAGGTCACCAACATGCTTTGACTTGGGTTGGCCATTAAGGAAGGAGAGTAAATATTTGTCAAAGCCTAAGCTTAAGAAATGGAGAACGGTTGGTTCAAAAGCAACCCCTAACTATGTTTTCTTATGTTTTATTTACTTGGCATACTAGAAAAAAAGTGATAACTTGAGTCAATCCTGATTCTCTACAAAATTTACTTTAAGATTTAGTATTGTATCATATATTTTATGTTTCTTGTTCTTTTTGGTAGATTTCTCATTATATGTGGCAACTGATGAAGTGTTTGATGAAAGTTATAAAATTATATTTTTACCTTCTAAGGGCTGAATAAAGAATTCTTCTTTTCTATTTTTTGATAAATGAATGTAGAAATTTTGTTACCAATGATATTAAAAACAGAAAAGTACAAACATGCTAAGCATTCCAAGCAGAGGCACGAGTGCATCCTCATATGCAAAAGATTTACAACTGTGCCCAATACATTCAATCCCTATTCACCCCCTGCTTGGAAAGCAAGTCTGCTAACCCATTTGCCAATCTTCTTTCTCATTGAATCCTCACAATCATATTAGATGTTAACCACTTAAATATCTTTATTTCCTCTCTGAAGGTTCAGATACCGAGTTTGGGTCCTTTAACCAGCTGACTACCAGCTTAGAGTCTCCTTCAAAAATCAATCTATCAAATTTCCAATCTCTTGCTAACTTCACCCCTAGTAGAACTGCCTGAAATTCTGCTCTGATGGAGACTCCTACTCCTGCTGGCCCTGAGAATAAAGCAGAAGTGTTTCCTTAGTTATTTCTGAAGCCAATAGCTATGGTAGAAGTCTACTGACCCATTTGCCAATCTTCTTTCCCACTGAATCCTCACAACCATATTAGACGTTAACTGCTTAAATCTCTTTATTCCCTCTCTGAAGGGCCAGATTACTGAGCTTGGGTCCTTCAACCAGCTGACTACCAGCTTAGAGTCACCTTCAATAATTAATCTATCAAAGTTTCAATCTTTTACTAACTTTAACCCTTGTAGGACTGCCTGAAACTCTGCTCTGGTGGAGTCTCCTACTCCCGCTGGTCCTGAGAATAAAACAAATGAGCTTGCTATTGAACTATGCAGCTCAAGATTTATAAAGATGACTAAGTTGGAGACACGAGATGATCGAAATGGAGTGGTGTGGATTGACACAAGGAAGGCCGGGAAGTTGGATGAGATGATGAAAGTTTTGAACGCATACCTAGTTGGTAGGTTTGTTGGAATCAATTTGGAGGTGGATAATGTGGAAGACTGGGCAGCCTTCGAATGTGGAAAGGAGATAGTCTTGGGAGCATGAAAGTTGAATGGCGGCTTGTTTTGTTCATGTTCTACATAGGAGAAGATGCTGATTGGGTTTTGGAGTTGGAAGAAAAAAGAGAAGAACCTGTGATCTTAGATTAAGCCAGTGGTTTTCGGTAGTAGGTTTGGTTCAAGGTCAAAGGAGAGTGATTTAGATTGGGTTTTGGGAATTGCCCTACATGTGTGGTGCATTTTCTCTTTTAAAATGATTGGGGAGTACTGTGGTAAGTTCTTGGTTTCTGATGACAAGAGTAGGAGGTAAAGGAGATTTCTACTATTCAAAGTTCGTTTGTTGTCCTATTTGCAGGAATAGAATACGAGCTAGGGATCTATGTAGAGGGAGATGACCAAATATTTTTTAGGGCATAGTGTCAAGAGAAGAGATGATGGTAGGGGAGAGATGAGAGTTGATAGTGTCAGTGCAGTTTGAACAAGAAAAAGAACACAGATTTGGGGTGTTTATTGTCTAATGGTTGACCACACCAAGAAAGGATTGTTTATATTAAAGAATGTAAAAGGACACTTCTGTCTTTATAGTACAAAAAGTAATGTACAAGATACAAAGAATAGAAAAGCGATGATACAACAAATAAGTAAAATTACTATTCATCCCTCACTATCTCTATTTCTACACTCCCCATCAAATTGATGGATGGGCATCATCATCAGTTTGTCCATGAGAAAGGAATGTCGGGCCCTAATCATAGCCTCTGTGAAAATATGTGCAAGTTGAAGATTAGATTGTACATGAGGCAAATCAGGCAATGAAATGCGATCGGTAGTAAGGAGATCTCTTATAAAATGACAATCCACTTCAATGTGCTTCATCCTTTCATGGAAGACAGGATTAGAAGCAATCTTGATTGCACTTAGATTGTCAGCCAATAAAGGAACAGAAGAGGACTTGGAAACATTTAAATCATGTAAAAGTGACTGGAGGAGCCAAATAATCTCATTGTATATTGAGGACATGGCTCTATGCTTCAGTGGGTGACTTGGAAGCAGTCTGTTACATCTTGCATTTCCATGAGATAAGAGAATCACCTAGAAATATGCACCACCTAGTAGTGGATCTTCTGGTGTCTGGACAACCAACCCAATCAGCATCCGCATATGCAGAGAGTTGAAGTGAAGAGGTGGATGGGAAGAACACACCATAGGAAAGTGTACCACAGATATATTTGATGACACAGTGTAAAGCTATCATGTGAGGTTGGCGTGGAGCAGAAACAAATTGACTCACAATCTGGACTACATATTAGATGTCTGGGTGAGTCATTGTTAGATATATAAGGCTGCCCACAAGCTAACGATACAAAGTGGCATCTTCAAGAAGAGGACCATTATCCTTGCTTAGTTTCAAGGTGACTTCTAGGGGAGTATCAACAAATTTTGTATTAGTAAGATGATCAAGACTGACAAGATCAGTGTCTTATTTCTGCTGATTAAGGAAATAACCACTAGAATTGTGGTGAACTTCCAAGCCTAAGAAGTATGTAATTGGTCCCAGATCTTTCTTCTTAAAGGATTGGCTAAGAAGGTGCTTGAGCTGATGTATACCATCCTGCTTATCTCTAGTTATGAGAATATCATTAACATATAAGAGAAAATGCACTCCCCTGAGAACTCTGAGATGTAAAGAGAGAATAGTCTGAGGATCTCAGTATGAATCCAACATCAATAATCACAGATCTTAACCTCTCAAACCAGGCACAAGGAGGAGGCTTCATGTACAAAACTTCCTTCAAATTCCCATGCTAGAAAGCATTCTTGACATCCATTTGGTGAACAACCCAATTCTTGACTGCAAAAATGGCCAACAAAAGATGAACAATTGTCATCTTGGTTATCGGGGCAATTGTTTCCTCATAGTCTATCCCATATTCTTTCTTGAACCCCTGTGCAACAAGTCTAGCCTTATACCTGTCCAGGTTGCTGTTAGACTTCAACTTCACAGATTACACCCATCTGCTATTAGGAGGAGGCTGAACCAACTCCCAATTGTCATTCTCTATAAGAGCAGCAATTTCAGCATCCATGGCATCCTTCTAGTGAGTGTGTGCTACAGCTTGCTGGTAAGACTTGGGGATATCTGTAGTGGACAAAACAACAGAGAAGGAGCTATGGTTTGAAGGAAAACCATAGCGGTCAGGTGGTCTAGAAACTCTAGTGGAGCAGCACAAAGTAGGAACACGAATGAAAGGAGATGGTGTACTTACAGAGGGAGGAGTGAGTGTCATACCTTGCTTTGGAGGAGAGGTTGGGAGCATAGGGGATAAAGCTCCTAGTTGCTTCTTGAAATAGAGTTGGTGCAACAAACGAGAAGAGGGTAATATTTCTGAGGTACCTACAGGCTCAAAGTGTTGAAGAACAGAAGCTGAAGGAGCAGAATACTTTGTGATATGTTGAAAAAATGAAAGATTTTCAAGAAATATCACATTCTGAGAGATTCTAGTCCATCGAGATTGAGGATCATAACATATGAATCCCTTGTGGTTAGAACTATATCCCAAGAAAGACACATAAAACAGATTGCGCAAACAATTTAGTGCACTCATGAGGAGGAAGATGAACAAAATAGATGCAACCAAACACATGAAGCATGGATAAGTTGGGAAGAGTCTTAAACAGAGACTGATGTGGAGATATATTATCAAGAACAGATGATGGAAGGAGGTTGATAAGATGTACAACAGTGCTGGACGCCTCTACCCAAAAGGTTGTAAGTGCATGAGAATCAAGAATGAGAGTTCTAACAATACTTAGGATATGGCCATTTTTGTGTTCAACAACCCCATTTTGTTGAAGAGTGCCAGGACAGGACTTCTGAGACTGTATACCATGGTGTTTAAGGTAGGCCTCGAACTCCCCATCAATATACTCTCCCATTGAATTTGAATGGAGGGTACAAATGGTGGTATTAAACCGTGTGGTCACTCTGTCATGAAAAAGTTTAAATATAGCAAATGCATTTGATTTCTTTCGAAGAAAGTATATGATAGGCCCCCAATTAATTTTACATACACTAGGAAGGGGAAAGGTTAGCTAGCGGCCAGGGGGGGGGGAATTGAACATGGGGGAATTTATGGCTGGAGGGAATAAGGAGAGTTTTTGTGGCATTTATAGCTTGTCAGTTGAGAATAGGAAGAGTATAGGGCATTTATAGCTTGTCAGTTGAGAATAGGAAGAGTATAGGGCATTTAGCATTTATAGCTTGTTAGTTGGGAATAAGAAGAGTGGGGCATTTATAATTCGGCCAGCTGGGCATTTATTATGGAAGGCAATTATGCTGTAAGATGTGTATAAGAAGGGGCTTTGGGGGATGGAGAAGAGGGACTTTTGCTGAGTACAGAATTATGAGAGTGCTTGGGAGAGCCGGCGGTCTCTCGAAGAACCGACTTACTGTACGTGATCTTCTTTTCTTCTAAATGAATATCAGTTCCCTGTTGAAGTACTAGTGGTTTGGATTCTGCTGTGAGTTTATGAACTGCGTGACAAATTTCTGGGACATATCAGTGGTATCAGAGCACATCTTTCCTCGGCCATGGTGACAGCTAAGGAAGTGGCATCGTAGGTGGAGGGTTTCGAAGAACGCTTGACTTCTCTGCATTCTGAAGTGGATGGCTTGCGTGATGAGATAACAGCTGGACTTTCGAAGATCACTTCCCTGGAAGGAGGCGCTCAAGACTTGGTAAGCCGTTTTGATCTGTTGCTGCAGCAACAGTCCTTGTCAGCTCCTTTGTCTACAGCTGACAATG